ATCCTGTCTTAAGGGTGTATTTGTGTATGAATAGGGTGAGCCTGTGACCTGGATTCAGGAACTAAGAATGGCCAGGCTGCCCAGCTAATGCAATCGGCGACCATTATCAGGTATCCTGGTAGGCAGGGTTTCTGCTGCAGACCGCCTCCTATGATATATGTATGATGATTTTGGGGTGGTCTTTGGCTAAGGGGGTTGGGCAATGTCAAAAGTCTTTAAAGGTTCCTGCACACTTTTGTTGAGGTTCCTGCACACTCCTCCCCTTGGAAGGAGGGGAGGGGACTCTGTTGCAACAGAAAAATAAACATCTGCCTTGTTTTCCACTGGATTCTGCCTCCATCCATTCTTCTCTGGCCGATCATGGACTTAGGGGACTCAGAGTCCCATGGGGAGTTGGGAAGCAAAAGCCAAACCCCAATTTTTACATCACCATTATCGAAATCACACAAGTCAGTTCCCCCCTCTTTTTTCTGTGTCCCCTAACCAGCCAGCAGTTCACATCTCTTCCCCTTTCCCGCACTCCAGGTTGCCCTGGCATTATTCACTTGCCTTTAGGAGCCTCTGGAGAAACAAAGGAGGAGCTTTCCACAACAACTTTGTCTCCGTGCCCTTTTTTAAAATTACGAAGCACTTGTTTAGTCATGTGGCCAGCATGACCAAGCATGCTCTGGCAAACCAGAGCAGCGCACAGAAACACTGTTTACCTTGCCGCCGGAGTGGTACCTATTTATCTACTTGCACTTTGACATGCTTTCAAACTGCTAGGTGGGCAGGAGCAGGGACCGAGCAACGGGAGCTCACCTCGTCACGGGGATTCGAACCGCCAACCTTCTGATCGGCAAGTCCTAGGCTATGTGGCTTAACCTACAGCGCCATCCGCGTCCCAGTAGTAGTAATACGAACAACTAATTTCACAGAGTTGTTGTGAGAATAAAAATTGGGTGGCGAGAGAACCATTATACCACCTTGAGCTCTTCAAAGGACAGGTGGGATATATGGTAAATGTAATACATGGAAGTAATTAAATAATACCAAAATATCAGTGACCAACTGTGGACCTGATTTATGCTTTCAGGCTGCTAAGATGTCGAGCCAAAAGAAGTGTCCAGACTGTGGCTCCTTGGAAATTGTAGAGGACTCTCATTATGCTCAGAACCAGCTGGTGTGCGCAGACTGTGGCTTCATTCTGACTGAAGGGCTTCTCACAACCACATATGCTGATGAAGAACATTTACAAGGTGAGGCAAAGAATAGCAAAATAGCTCAAAACTCTTTGTATCTTACAAAGACATAGGATTTGAGATACGACTTGCAAGCAGTTCTCAAATATAGACAGGCCCTACACCATTCAACAGTATAAAAATGGGTGCATGTTTGAGAGCTTGGACCAAAGTTTGGTTGATATCTGTGTTTTTATCTCGTAGAAGTCACGTATTCACGGAGTACTGGTCAGAATGAGCAAACGAGCCGTTGTGTACAGCGAGGTACGTATTCTGCATTACTCTGTTGATGCTTTGTGGAAATTAATGCGCCTGTCATCCACAAGAGCTGCATTGTTTCACTTTCTAAAAGCAAAGAGAAATTTGCATTTTTAAAACAGTCTTACCTATTTGCTGTGGGACCAACATCAAAAGAACCTATTTTAGAGTTTTAGAGGTGCACAGAGTCCAGAGTTCAGTTTGATTGCCTGATCAAATCCCAGCTGAATCATTGACAGATTGGTTAAGCATGGACCAGTCTGTTTCCATTACCATTAAATGGCCATTATAATTGTGTGTATAGCTGCAAAAATTAAAAATCAATACGTAACTAAAAGCCAAATTAAAATACAAATATTGAAACAGCAATACTAACAGCCATTCTCAATTAGAGCCCCCAAAGGCGTTCATTTAAAAAAGTTCTCTGTAGTATCCAAAAGAAGCCAAAGTAGGCTTGGTTTGGACACTCCAGTTACACTACCACAATTGAAAATATGTTGTCCATGATTGCCACCCATCTAACCTCTGAAAGTGGGAGCATGTGAAACAGAGCCTCCACAGATTATCTTAGTATATGGGCAGCTTCATACAGGCAAAGACCTACTCTGTGGTTAGATTTCTCACTGATAAATGTGTATGTGGAAACATTTCTTAAGTACTGCTGTGGTATTTTCCCCCACAGGAGTCAAACGTGTTCGGGATCTCTGCAAAGTTCTGCGGCTTCCTTCTCTGTTTGAAGATACAGCCGTGTCCTATTACCAGCAGGCAATCAAACGTCCCTGCTTCAGTTTAGTCAGCTTGGAGAAGAAGGAGATGCTTGTGGGCTGTTGCGTCTTTGTGACCTGCCGCCAGCACAACTGGCCCCTGACCATGGGCACAGTCTGCCTGCTGCTCTATGGAGACAAGGAGTTGTTTGCAAAGACCTATCTACGCTTCCTGAAGGAACTGGCACTGGATGTGCCTACTCTCAGCTTGATGGATATGGTGAAAACCCACCTCAACAGGTATGTCGAAGTTCTTGTGCCCTTTCCTGGACAATACTTCTCATAGTTGGTGTGCAATTTCCATCATTCATAGACTGAATTTACAAGTATCATACGGACTGTGTGGTATATTGATTGGAAGGCCGATGAAACAGCAAGCTTCTTAAAGTTCAGCAGGGACGGGTGTGGTCAGTGCTTGGATGTAGGAACCCTGTGTGTGCTGTGTGCTTCCATCATGGAAGAAATGGGTATTTACATATGTGCATGTATACTCCAACTCCCTGATTTCTGAGATTTCATTTGAGGCAGTTCCAGGCTTTTCTCTTTAGCCACAGGGGCAGCAAACTTCCTTTTTTTAACAAATAATTGTCAGAATTGTGAATTCTGCTCCTGCTCCCAATCCCGTAATTGCTTAGAAATCCTTCCTATTATTATTAAGGGCAAGAAGCCAACAAACAGAATTTTGTTGAGCACAAGTTAGGAAGAGTGTAAATTCAGCCCTGTCCATATAGTGCTGGTTAAAGGAAGATGCTTGCCTTTTTGATTCAAGCTGCTCAGCTTGCCTTTTTGGTGTCCTTGGAAAATGCAGGGCCTTCTGCCCTTTGCCCTTTGCCAGAATGCTTTATTTTGCTCATGTCCCTCTTTCATCCATTTGTCTTCTCCATCCTGCCACATCTCCCAACCCAAGGCAGTCTATCTAAATGGCTTGTTTGATTCTCATCTTTCCAGCTTCAAGATTTTCCAGAATTCACCCAGCGTCCCGACTAAGTTTGTGGAAGAAAAGGAGCAGCTGGTGGCAAGGACTGTCCAGATGGTGGAACTTGCCAGCGACACGTGGCTGGTGACTGGCCGGCACCCCATCCCCATAGTGACAGCAGCAGCCTTCCTGGCTTGGCAGTCTCTCCGGCCTGTCGATCGCCTCACTTGCACCCTTTCTCAGTTCTGTAAGCTTGCTGGTGTGGAGGCTCCCCGGCCAGCCCACCAGAGACTGAAGGAGCTGCATAACATCCTCCTGCAAATGGCTTCTCAGCTGGGCTGGTTGCGAGTGCTGAAAGTGGACTGTCGGAGTGTGGCAAAGTACATCGGTGACCTTCTGCGGCACCGCCGTGTGCTTCTACAGGCTGCCTTCCGCATCGTGGATAGTACGGAAGACCGTGACCTAGAAGACTCAGCGGCTGCGCCACTGCAGCTAATCGATGAGAGCGCTGCAACAGTAGAAGAGGCCTCCCTTTCAGGAGAGAAGCAGAAGTTCAGCAAGCGGAAACCTTTGCTCCCACCCTGCGTCTTGAACCCCGCAAAGAGGCTACGAACTCCTGAGCTAAGCCTTGAAGATTCTGCTATCACTGGGGATGAGCCCATTTTAGACAGTGAGATAGAGCAGTATATCCGGACTCCAGAAGAAAAGGAGATGTTTAGCAAGGCTCAAGCGTGCCTGTGACCTCGAAGCTGCAAGTGATTCAGACAGGCTTGCAAGCAATAGCCTTCTGATACATATTTTGCTCTAGGAGGCTTAGTTTGGTAAGAATAGAGTATACACTTCCAAAGTTAATGCTAAATACATTACTTCTGGTAAATGAGCCATCATAACCACTAGAGGATTGTGAAAATTTGTGTCCTTTTTTAGACTTGGGTTTTTAGACTTGTCTACCTATGTACTGTCTGAAGCAAAGGGATTCATTGGTTGCCAGATGTGATTCCCGCCCCCCCCCCAGCTCTCCTGTCCCACTAAGAATCTCCCGCATCCTTCAGGCATGGCTCCTTCCCCCCTACTGTGGTAATAATTAAAGGCAGGTTTGGGTGGCCTGGATAACTTTGGTTACAGGTAGGGACCACTAGTAACCAGTTGGCGAGGTTGTGTGATTATTTTCCTTCAACTCTGACAAGAGGTATAGGAAGTGGCCACATTGCAGTGGTTTGCATGCTGTTTAGGACAACTTTTGGCGTAAAGATTGGCAGGCTTCCATGCGTATCTCTGGGTGAGAAGTAGTATCCACTCTTGAAGGTTTGGGTGGAGGCAGTCAGCCAGCTAGAGCAACAAATACCTCTTTGAGTTGGCGTTTGACTTGAATGAGTGTTTGTCTGGGCTACTTATGGTCCTCATAGTTAGGCATGGGAGAGTGGAAGAGTGAAAATCTAATTGCAAGTTGTTTCAGACATGCATGCTTTAAACCTAGATCCAGAAGAAAAAGTTGTGGCTTTGCAAGCATCTCTTTATAGAACATGGTATGGTGGTTCCTGAACATCATACCCGTGTCACAAGATAGGTGGTGAGTCAGTCCCTCTGATTAATGGAGCTACTTAATTAATTTTTGTCCCTACATGCATGTTGAGAGACACGCTTGTATGTCACATTAATGACATATGTGATTTGTTCAGTTGCTCAAATTGTTGCCACACAATTCCGTTTATTGCTCTGTAACTGTGGCCAAACTCTTGTTACTGCCAGATTTGATTTTAAAAAGATGACTTTATGACCAACCAGATACTGAACTGTGTGAGGTATCAAGAGAGCCAGAGGAGTAAGAAAGCAATAGAGAACTTTTTGGATGTTGCAAATCTTTAATATATTAAACAAGAAACATCTGCTAGAAACACTTCATTTTTATAAAATGCAAAAGCCCTATTAAATGCTTTCTTTGGCACAGTTGTCTCTCAAAAAAGCTCTCTGTTCTTTGGCACAGTTGTCACTCAAAAAGCTTTCTTTTGTGATATGTCATTTGCTCATAATGTAAACAGACAAAATAAGGTAATAATACAAAGCTTTTCTGATAATACTGTTTTCAGTGTAGCAAGCATATATAACAAGTTCAGCATCGGCAATATCATGTGGGTTGTAGTACTGACATATAAATGATTTAGGCCTTTATTTAAATATAAAAAATATAAAACCAAGAAGGAATTTTCAGAGGTAAGGGAAAGGAGAATAGATCTGCTCTCAAGCTAAATAGGAGGAAGCAATTGTGAAACCACTGTAGTTGCTAAAGAGGTGATGGAGAAGGAACAGTTCTTGGAAGATTCAGGGATTGGGAGGTAATAAGTGCTTCATGGCCCTTTAAGGGCTCCAACTTTCCATGCCAGCTCTTAGAGCCACTGTGGATCCTACTGATTGCCTATGGCTCTGCCTGTTTGACTGGTGGAACCAATAGCATGAGGACCAAACAATCCGTGCAGCTCCTATCGAGGTAGGTGGTGTTTTACTGACAAGGAGACTGCGTATGCCTGCCTGTCCCTAGGAGTACATTGATCTTCTGCCATGTTCAGAATAAAGACTTTATTTTTCTTAAGCACTGCACAGTTGATTTCAAAGGAGCAGTAAGAATTTTCAACACGTGTGCGTAAAAATTATACATTTATTTATAGTACCCAGTTTGTGTCTTCCCTCAAGGCTATGGTTCTGTTGTGGAGATACCTCCTGGCATCCACCCCCTGCTTGCATTCATTGCTGTTACTTACTGTAGTGAATGTGCTTCCTCTTCTAGCAGCTGTTTGTTATTGCCTGTGATATAAATTGCAAAAAGTGAGAAGAGGGGCCTGTGCAGGGAGTCTGGCCTGTTCAGATTTCTTGCACACACACCCTTGAAAATGGACAAATATATTCTTCAGCCACTTCTGACACACAGGCGCCCTTTGTGGGAAGTGCTTTTCTATGCATTTACCCCACAGACGTTTCAGTGCTACCTTTCTAGAAAAAGAGGTGCTGGAACTCACAATGAACGCCTCTCTTGTTCTCTTAGAATGGCAATGGAGCCCACCAGAGAGGTGCCGCAACTGAGTTCCAGCTGAAAAAAAAGCCCCAGATGTTAAGCTGGCCTCGTGAGACACACCCACATGGGTAGGACTGCTTGCATGAGAAAGGCCTTTAAAGGTTATGCTAGAATCGTGGGGTGAGCTCACTGTAAAATCCCTCCCACCGTGTTCCTGTAAATTCTTAAGGATACTTAACTGTGGCTCTCGGCTGACTTCCCTCCTTGCAGGATGCCTACGTCTTTAGGAGCTGGATGCCCCTCCCCTTTCCCAAATATGGAAAACCCATCTAACGAACTCAGCGGAAGGAAAAACAACATGTTTAGTCCTCCTATATCTGTGGCTCTCATAAGATCTCACTGTTCTTGCTCATGAGTCAATGTTTGTTAGTATTGCATAAATGAGGCAGAAGAAGGTGGCAGCATGTCCTCGGAGGTCAATGGGGCCGGAGTGTGAGGAGACAGCATTTCTAAGTGCCTGTCTGGATTTTTCACCCAGTCATCAATACTACAAATTCCTCTGTCGTCTTTTTAGCTTCCCATATGTTTACCCCTCTCATTCTGCTGCTTTAAGCAACTTCTACACCCCCACCAGCGTTACTGACAGCACTCATCTGGGTATAATAATGGTTTATGGGTGTGAACAGAAAACCCTCACAAGTCTTCTCTCTCTAAACAATGCACAACAATGATCCTAAATAATAAAAAAATCTCTCTGCCTGGTCGGAATTTATAGCGGGTTGGCTTGTTTTAATTCTGCAAAAACGTGGGTGTGATTTATATGATCCAAGTGCTTTGCCAATAGCCTTTGATCGCCCACTGAAATGTTCCTGTCTCTGTTCTGTTGGCCAGTCTGTGAGCCAATTGCACAATGCGTTCCACGTTGATTTAAATTAATAACACACCTTCCCACACCCTGAAACACGCACTTTTCTCCAAAAAACTTGGAAATCCAGATGTTTATCAGTAAGTAGAAAGGAGAGAAACAGGAAAGAAGAGAACTTGTTTCCCCCCCAAAAGCAAGCTGTAGTCTTTGCAGACTTGAGTAGATTAAGGACATGTGTCCTGTCTCTGTGAACAACACTTGGGTTCCTTGTGCAAGAGCAGTTAAATGATTGGGTGGTGTTGGCCCTCTTAACATGGATAGAAAAACTGCCATACAGTGTGCCATACAAACAAAGAAGCTATGCTCCCCTTTTTCTTTTTTTCTGCAAGGCCAAGTACATGCCATGAAAGTGAGGTAAGCACACTTTACTTGTAGCTGATACTTTGCTTGATTGCGTTTTGACTATGGCTTTTAAAATAAACACTTACGTTACCTCTGTAATTCGGTGGGCTAAATATGGTCACTAAAAAGCTACATTTGCTCCCTCTTAGGGTGGGGGAAAATGGCTTATTGCACTGTGTCATGCTGAGGACCTCTTCTCACTTTGCATCTCAGTGTGACCTTCAGAGGTCATGCGCCTTGCACCAGGTTTTGTAAGGCTATGGATAGGGAGGAGGAGAATGGAGCAAAAAGGCTCAGGCCGCTGCCTCCTAATGAACTACATGTTTGACACGAAGTGGCTAAGACCAGGTGTGAACAGACATCTGCCTTGCAGAATCTATCCTGACCCCTACTGGATTTTTTCTTGGTCTACCAACTGGAGCCAGTCTAGAGTCAAATGCAAAATGACGACTCCGAAGGTGGCACCAACTGCCTGTTGGTACCCTACAAGCATAAATCTACTTGCAATCTATCAGGAACTTCAGCAGCCTAATTCAGAGGCAGCGGGAGTGGTGCTCTTTTTGCTGCTGCTATCATTAAACAATTCTAAGACAAAGCTCATGCCGGGGTATTGCACATCATCATCTTTCCCTGACACTAGTCTTCAGTTGTTTCAGACCCCAAGACTCACCTTTAACTGCAGATCCACTTTGATTTGACCCTCTATGTGCCCTTTTATCTTTAGCGAATCTGCAGTTGACCCAATTCCTCCCCTGAACATTTAATGCATTTGCCCCCACCCCCTGTTCTTTTTAACAGGGAAAAAAAACTTTTTAAAAGGTTGATGTCATTGGTGCAACCCACCTTGGCCAATCACACCTTGACCTGACAATCTTTTCTCTTCTTCTGCACCTCCTTGTCTTCTGAAAGTGTAGGTACAGCTTTACAAGCTTGGAAGGGGATGTGTCTGAGGTCAGCCAGACTAGAAAACAACACATTCTCATGGCCAGTTTTTTTCCATGTCTAACAAGTGCAATTATCTGTGGGACTGCAAAATACAATGCAAGAAGTCCTCTGCCTGGCGTGGGCAAGGAGTGATCAGCCTGCTGGCAGGGATTGCTGCTTTTGAGAAAGAGCCCATGGCTACATGGAGCTCATTGTTGGCGTAGCAGATTCAATAGGAGTTTGATCATGCGACTGCTCATTAACTTGACAAAACACCCATAAACAGTGGACTGTCCCCGACCCCCTTGGAACTAAGCAGATGGGAATGTCTCAAAGGTGTTTAAAAGTGCTCCCCCCCAAAAAAAAAATTACGTAAAAGGAGCAACATGGTTTGAGCCACCTCCTTGGTCAGCCCCACAAGCACAATGATGCCGCTGCCTTACTACCATCAATTCTGTTAAAAATGACCAACTGTCTCCAGCTTTGGAGCTGTGTCAAAAATAATCAATTTGGTTTGTTGGCTGCATCAACAATGAGCCACAGCGTAGCCATGAGAACTGGCCTTGAGGTATGTTGGAAGAGGGGGGAGTGGAGAAGGCAAGAGCTCTTTGACACAACATTGATGGCTTTAACATAAAGTGTGTAGGCACTTCAATTGGATAGCAATTTTGCCTATACATATGTACATACAACGCTAGAGATTTCAGCTTATAAACACTGCTTTCCTTGGTATGCCATACCAAAAAAATAAAATAAAAAAGCACCTAGGATCTAAGTGACATGCAGAAGGGATATAATATAGATTGCAATGCTCCAGAACAAATGATTGTCTTTCACCGTACGAATTAGGCCACCGCTGCTCGTTCGGCGGGGACAGGAACAGATCCCCAGGAACAAAGAGCAGCCGAGTCACCTGGTGCACAGGATATCGGTGGTGGAAAGCATGGTGTGGTTCCTAGGATGTGATGCACGTACCCTCTCCCTACCCTGCCCCCTTGCAACTCAGATGTCAGGTGACCTTTCCTCTCGACTGCAGGGCAGGGGGTCTGGGAACGTGGTCAACCAGACACTGCCCAAGCCCCACATAGTGCACACCATCAGCCTCTGCAGCTTGCATCAGCAGGCTCTGGCAGCAAGATGCCAGTGCCTTGCTAATTCCTGCCCGAGGCTAGGGGAAACCTGCTCCAGCCCCCTGGCCCTTTGACCCTTCCCTACACAGTCGTCTCGCTCTTCCAGAGACCCGTTTTCATGCCGGCTGCGCTGTCAGCCCCGGTGAGGTTTATGTCGTACTCGCTGCCCTTCAGGCCCCCGTTCTGATTGGCCGTGTTGAGGGGGAAGGAGCGCCTCTTAGTCTCTTTTTCCGCTGCGGCATTGGCCTGGTGCTTGAGGTTGTCTCGGCTGGTGCTCCTCCGCTGGCCTTGGCTGAAGTCTGCCCCGTGGTGGTGGCCGCCACTCCCGTCGCTCAAGTCGGACTGCGTCAGGGCCAACTCCAGGCTTGGGACCACCCCGTGGCGCCGATTGTTCAGAGGGCTGTTCCGACTGCTTTGGTAGCTCTCCGAGTGGCTGGTGGGGAGGCTGCCACTCTCGCTGGTCGGGTGCTCTGAGGAAGGCCCCCGCAGAGCCTTCAGGCGCTGCTGGTGTTTCCCTTCCCGGTATTGCTTAGTCCTGCTTTTGTGGTGTCTGCTGCGGCCGTGCAGGTTGTTGGCGTACCTGGCCGGCGGGGTGCTCTTGCTGTTGCAAGGCTCGGCGTCCTCATAGCAGGCCGTCTGCGAAGGGCTTCCATCCGCCTGGCCGAGGGCCACTTGCAGGTTGTTGAGTTTGCAAGGCCCCGGGGCGGAATTGCTGCTGCTGGGGGAAGAGGAGGACTTGATGGACTGAGCCGCCTCGGGGCTGCAGCCAATGAAGACCTGGGAGCCGTCCTCCACTCCCACCCCGGGGTGCACGTAGGCTTGCATGGGCAAAGCATTCCTGTAAGATGGGCAGCAGGCGAACCACGAGCCCTGCACGTCTCGGCGGCGCGCGCAGTGGTGGGCAAAGATGAAGAGCCCCAACGCCACAGCCGTGACTCCGTAGAGGCAGCTGAAGGCGACCTTCAGGAGGAACCAGCGCTGGGACACCGCCATGGCCCCGAAGGTCCAGAGAGTGATGTACAGGAAATGGGTGATGACAAGAGCCCAGAACTGCACCCCTAAAGAGTAAACGCCGTCGACGTCGGCACTGTGCGGGGCAGAATTCAGCGTGACCAAGATGGACCCCGAGTCTGTCAAGAGGTTGCTGCTGCCACCCAGCCGCTGACGCATTTCCAGGGGTTTGGGCGCCTCTTTGGGGTTCTTGGCTTGGCACTGCAATCGGATTCCGGCACACAGGAAGTAAATCCAAGTGACGAGCAGGACGAAAGCCGCAGGCACGTAGAAGGCCCCGATGCTTGGCTGACAAGCCAGCCAGCAACTGCAGGGAAATGGGGAAAGGGGGAAGATTCAGCAGAGCTATCAAGTGGGTCTGAAGTAACTGGGAGAATGTAGGGTGAGTCCTGGGAGATCAACCCAAAGGTCTGCCACAGCAATGGAAAGCCCATGCCCCTCCATTTGTTGCTAATATGTTTACCAGATTTTTTTTCAATGAATCGGGGCACTTTTTCTTTTCTTTTTTTTTAGCTGAGTCAGTAGTGGGGGTGGTGAGGCAAAAGACCCTGGGCCCAAGCACACATGCATATTGTATAAAGGTGCAAAGCCCTTCTTTTGCACCCTGTGAAACATAAATGCGCAGTTTTAAAAAAAACTGGGTAACGGCTGCCCACCCGCAACGCCAGAGCCTCCCCCAATCTCCTTTCCCATTCCCCCTTTGTTTTGACTAATTGGGGGAGGCTCAGGAGTCATGGGCAGGTGGCGGGTGGCCAGTTTTTTTAAAAAAACTCTGCACATTTACCGTATTTTTCGCCCTATAAGACGCACTTTTCCCCCTCCAAAAATGAAGGGAAAATGTGTGTGCGTCCTATGGGGCGAATGCAGGCTTTCGCTGAAGCCTAGAGAGTGAGGGGGGTCGGTGCGCACCGACCCCTCTCGCTCTCCAGGCTTCAGGAAGCTATCCGCTAGCCATGGGAGACCCAGCTCTCCCAGGGCTAGCGGAGACCTTGCCAGCACCCAGAAGCTTGGGGCGCGCTGAGCTCAGCACGCCCCAAGCTTCGGGCTTAGTGCAGCACACCTGGGGGGGGAAAATGTTTTTCCTTTCTCCCCCCCCAAAAAAACTAGGTGCGATCTATGGGCCGGTGCGTCCTATGGGGCGAAAAATACGGTATGTTTCACAGGGTGCAAAAGAAGGGCTTTGCACCTTGCCTGGCAGAGAAACCGTGCACCTTGCGCCCCTCTCCTGTGGCTAATAATTACTGCATTACTTGGTTGTTATGTATTTCCCAAACAGGAGTTAACCATAGGAGTGTTACAAAGATTTGGTGCCTGGGCTTGGCATAGCTGCCTGTCAAGTCCCATGCTCTAGTAGGGTGACCCTATGCTAATCCCTGAAGCCTCTTGCCTTGCCTTCTCCAAGCACGAAACAGCGAGAGGAGAAGGAAGAGTAACCACTGCAGGCCTTTTTCTCTGTGGGAGGTGTGATTTGAGTCCAGAAGGAAGTGAATAATTTCTGCCGATAGAGGCACACTAAGAGCATCTAGCCCAGCAGCAGCTAATATGCTGGCCTCCAGATTTTTTGGGAGGGACTACAACTCCCATCTTTCCTGATCATTGGCTATACTGGCTGGATCTGATGAGAGTTGGAGTCCTGCAATAGGTGGAAGGAGCAACATTGGCTAGTCCTGATCTATCCCAGGAATTGGCACTTGTGAGATGCCACCGGTTTTCCAAAGTCCTGCCCATAAATGGGGTCCCAGCACATGAAGCCTTGCTGTATAAAAAGGAGCATTTTCGATTACTTACTAGGAGTCGTGATCTCCGTAGTTATGGATATTGACTGCTGCTGTAATCCCGCAGATGATGAGGGGGATCCCACCAGCTATCAGGTAGAATCTGAAACACAAAGAAAGTCCAGTTGATCTCCTGGATGTGGGAATTATACCTGCAAACCTTCCACGGGGCTAGAGATGGAGAGACTAAGTCCCCCTCTCTTGGTTCAAAAAGGAGCAATCTACTCCCCAAAGGCACAAGAGTCGCCTTGTAAGAATAGCTGCTGGATCAGGTCAGTGGCCTGTCAAGTCCAGCATCGTGTTCTCACACTGGCCAGCCAGATGCCTGAGCACAACAGCACTCTCCCCTTTGGTGGTTTCCAGTAACTGGTATTCAGAAGCATTACTGCCATCATGACTAGTTTCCTCTTGAACCCAGTTTTGTAAACTTGGAGCAGGGGCGTCTCCTGCAGCCTACAGCTCCCTCCCTACGAGACCTTCTCCCTCGGTACCGTAGCATTGGGCGGGGGGCTGGCTGGGGGGCTTCCCCTTCCTGCTGCTGTGGTGCCTTCCACGTGGCCTCCTTGTAGATCACTCTCACCATCACCGCCATCCACAGAAGAGTCGACAAGGCAGAGTAGTGCAGAATGATGCCAACCTGTAGAGAGTAAAGGAAGAGGACACAGTCATCTCCTGGGGGTCAGTTGCACTCAAGGGCTGGGAGACACTTGCCAGATCTGGGATGGAATGCCCCATGACAACGGCGCTTCCAAGAACGCTGTCGGCAATGATGCCATCTCCGTGTTATTTATTCCATTTAATAATGTGATGCCATGCCCACGGGGCATTCTTACAGAGGCAAAAGCAGCCTGCTGCTGTTTCCTTTGGGTGCAACACCAGTGTGCCACTGGAAAGACAACTGCTTGCCCACAGGATGAGGTCCTCCTTGCCATACTCAGCAGTGACTACATTATTACATGAGCACTGTTCCACATCATTTTATATTTTCACTTACATACATTCATTCGAAATAAGATGGGTTTATGAAGCAATTCTACATCCTCCCACCACGCTGACGAAGAATTCAATGAGACAGTAGTCTATATCCAGAATCACTGTTTAGTGTCGGACATTATATTTGCTGAATACACAAAGCTTCACAGCTTGTCTTTCATCGTACAAAGTCTGGTACCTCGCTTCATTTAAAGATTTTCAGACTAAAGATTTCATTTTGTGAATGTTAGAATGATGTTGGAATGAAGTTAAGTGGTTTTAGCAGCAATGTTATAAAGGAGTATGTAAAAATGGATTGTTAACAGGTGAGAATCTAAAGTTATAATATATTAAGATATTGGATTAAGATAAAAACAAAGAGGGTAAGGATTTGCTGAAATAACTAACTGAATCGGAATACAAAAAAGGGAGGTGTGAGGAGGTCAGGGAAACAAGCAAATGAAAGATAAGACATGAAAAGATTGATTTGTTTTTAATTGTTTTTATTTTTTCTCTTTTCTCTTTTTCCCCTTTTTCTTATTTTTGTAACCTTTTTTGAAACGTTAATAAATATCATTTTAAAAATAAAAGATTTCATTTTGGACTTGTTATGGTTTGAAGGAATTCTATAAAAGATTGTTTATTGCGTATGTACAGGGTTGTCGTGTTGCCTAGACATTGCTGACATACTCACCGCTTGGCAGATGACCACGTAGTTGGTAAGAGTGACGCCCCCCGCGAAAACGGCCGACGTCATGGCAATGTGAAAGCAGAGGTTGAGCAGCATGTGCCAGCACTTCCGGGAGATGTGAATGGTGCTGCGGGGAAAACAGGCACAAAAGGAAGGTGGGTGGAGGAGCCGAGGAAGGACCACAGGCGGGTGGTGGCTGGTGCCCATTGTGGCAGGTAGGGCGGAAGGCAAGGTACACCAACAGCAGGTAGATTCGCGGCCAAGGACAGCGAATTCTGGATCGATCCCCATCCTCCCCCCTGCTGAGTCCTACAAAGTTGACACTGAGACAAAGGAGGAGGTGGGAGAAGCTGGCAGGCAGTGACACCCGCTGGCCTTGTTGCAAGTAAGAAGCCAAGGACATGGGGGCAGGATGAGGCCAGGCAAGGGAGATGGGGCAGGATACTCACCTGTGGTTGATGATGTACGTGATGATGGTGGCGAAGAGGCACAGGAGGAGGAGGGCAGTGCAGCTGTAAATGACAGGGTGCAGCACCTCAGCTGGGCTCGGGGACTCACGTGGAAAGTTGCTCAGTTCCTGTGTTTGAGAATAATAATAATAATAATAATTTATTTCTTATACCCTGCCCATCTGACTGGGTTACCCCAGCCACTCTGGGCAGCTTCCAACAAAACACAGAGTGGGGAGGGAAGCCTCAACTATGAAACACTTCCCAAAACAGGACTGCCTTCAGATGTCTTCTAAAAGTTGTGTAGTTCTTTATCTCCTTGGCACCTGATGGGAGGGTGTTCTGCAGGGAGGGCACCACTGCTGAGAAGGCCCTCTGCCTGGTTTCCTGCAACCTCACTTCTCGCAGTGAGGGAACCGCCAGAAGGCCCTCAGAGCTGGACCTCAGCGTTCGGGCTGAACGATGGGGGTGGAGACACTCCTTCAGGTATGCTGGGCTGAGACTGTTTAGGGCTTTAAAGGTCAGCACCAACACTTTGAATAAGGTCCAACAGAGTGCAGTGGTTAGAAATTAAGGCAGCTTAATTTAAATTAAAGCACGGAGGGGGATCTCAGTGTTCCAGCTCCTGTGGAGAGATCACTACCTGCATGGCAGCCTTAGCTGAATATGTTGGGAAACTGTGTACGTGCAGCTACTCACACAGAGTCAATTAAGGTTTGGCAGACAGCCAGAAGGCAATCTGAAGGAGTAAGTCTGCCTGGTGATAACAGAGACATGGAGACAGCTTCCTGATTGGTCAAGCTCTCTCAAGGGAGTAATGGCCTACTAACTGGAATGTGTTAGTTCAGTATTTCAGAGTTCAGTAGTTCTGTGTCAGTGTAGGAGTTGTGAGTGGTGTATGAGAGAGCTAGCTAAAGATCCATGTTCTGTTCCTGTATACAGTACACTGTATATAATAAACACCTAACTACAAGTTCCTGGTTCCTGCTTCGTCTATCCTGTCTGCAGCCAAATCACCAATTGCTTCCGTGGATTCTGCATTTACTCTGCTAGGTCTGGCTAAGGTCCTGCAACTAGTCAGAAAGTTGCGAAACACCAAATAGGTTTTGTCAATAGAATATAGCTGGGCAAAGCAACCCAAACCTCCCTTGGGCTGGGCGGGTGCTGGATTAGGTGGGCCAGCCCACCCCCCAATGCCTCACCATCAGCACAGCGACGTTGCCAAGGTGCCGGCAGCTGACGGTGGTGACGTTGGGCTCCAGGCCAATCAGCTGGCAGCCTTCAGCTCTCCAGCCCCCGTACCCAGCCAGCACGTCAAAGTCCCAGGAAGCGGCCATGCGGTCGGTGCCCTCGCCCAAATGCCGCAGCGAGATGACGACGGGCTCACTGAAGTTGCTCGCTCCACAGCCATCTGGGGAAGACCAAACGAGGAATGGGCAAAGAGGCTGCAAGCTGCCTTCAGGCTGAGCGGAACAGATGTTGTCTTGCACAGCAGAGAACGATAGAGTACTATCCCTCCCCTAACGCCTAATAATAATAATAATAATAATAATACATATTCATTATTTCCTGAGCAGTTGCCTGCTTCATTTGGTTATTCCATTCCTCATTCTTAAAGGAAAGACAAACAGTATGAATGCTGGCTTTCAGACACGGGTTCTTAAGCAATGCCCTTTGAGGCAGGAGTAACCAGCGTGGAGAGCGGGTGGCACTGTGGTCTAAACCACTGAGCCTCTTGGGCTTGCTGATCGGAAGGTCAGCGGTTCAAATCCCCATGATGGAATGAGCTCCCGTTGCTCTGTCCCAGCTCCTGCCAACCTAGCAATTCGAAAGCACACCAGCGCAAGTAGATAAATAGGTACCACTGTGGTGGGAAGGTAAATGGTGTTTCCGTGCGCTCTGGTTTCTATCAAGGTGTTCTGTTGCACCAGAAGCAGCTTAGTCATGCTAGTCGCATGACCCAGAAAGTTGCCTGTGGACAAACGCCGACTCCCTTGGCCTGAAAGTGAGATGATCGCTACAACCCCATAGTCGCCTTTGACTGGACTTAAACTGTCCAGGGGTCCTTTACCTTTTACCTTCCAGATGATTTGGACTACAACTCCCATCATCCCCAGCCAATGTGGCCTGTGTTTAGGGAAGATGAGCTCCCCACCCCCCAAAAACCCATCTGAAGGACCCCACGTTGGCTAGCCAAACCAAAAGAGGCAGGCCATACAGCCTGTTCCATACAGCCACTGCCCGGGCACTGAGATCCTTACGTGTTCCTGCATAGATCACCGGAGTGGCCACACTGCGCCTTTTGCCATCATCTGCCAGGTGTGAAGAGTTTCCAGTGCTGCAGAAGAGCTTGCCGTTGCGGAATGCCAGGAACTGGAGTTTGTACTTGTGAGCTGAGGGGTAAGGAGGAGCCGACGGGCAGAAGAGACCAGGAGGCAACTGAATGGAGGCCAGAGCAATGCTGTTCTGATGGGACAGGGAACAAAGGGGTCACCCAGCAAAACAACAACAACCCAGTCCCAGCCTGGGGACACACGCAGGAAACTTGACTTCTACCAGTTCAGTTTCTTGTCCATGTTGCCAGGTACAGCTGGAGCAGCCCACCCCCACCCCTTCATTCATTCATAAATCCATTCCTTCCTTTCTTTGCATTAAGTTACAATGGGTTGCATCCAATGCCAGTCCCACACAGACTAATTAAAGATAATGGGCATGTCTAACTTGGGATGCAGACGGTGCTGTGGTCTAACCACAGAGCTTAGGGCTTGCCGATCAGAAGGTCAGCGGTTCGAATCCCCGTGACGGGGTGAGCTCCCGTTGCTCAGTCCCTGCTCCTGTCAACCTAGCAGTTCAAAAGCACGTCAAGTGCAAGTAGATAAATAGGTACCACTCCGGTGGGAAGGTAAATGGCATTTCCATGCGCTGCTCTGGTTCGCCAGAAGCAGCTTAGTCATGCTGGCCACATGACCCGGAAGCTGTCTGCGGAGGAAACGCCGGCTCCCTTGGCCTATAGAGCGAGATGAGTGCGCGACCCCAGAGTCGTCTGCGACTGGACCTAACGGTCAGGGATCCCTTTATCTTTACCTTGGGCCCATTAATTTCAAAGGGTCTGTTCTGTGTAAAGCTAAGATGGCTACAGACCATTTATTTGTCTGATTATTTAAAAACAAACTGCATGAGAATTTGTTTTTAAATATGTGTTTCTCAACAGATTTCCTCTCAGACTTTTCTAAACACATTTCACCCTAACATACAGGTTGGTACTTTCCTTAAGCCCCAAAACTGTGTTGCAAAAGTTGGAGAAGTGCGACATCTGAAAGACAGCTACATTCTGGTCCGTGCATAGCATGGCGGGGGGAGGTTTGAGAAATAACCCAGCTCAGTGGCAGAGCTTCTGCTTTGCCTACAGGAGGTTCCAGGTTCCATCTCTGACATCTCTAGGGAGGGCTGAGAGGGACCCCGCTCTGAAATCCTAGCAAACTGTTTCTGGTCAGTGTAGACAATACTGATCTCCATACGCCAACCGTCTGACCCCGTATAAGGAAGCTTCCTATGTTCCCAAATCCTTTCCCCCCAGTGTTATGGTGCTGACCCAAATGCCTCCTTCTCAACTCAGTGGTTGCTTTTAGCCCAAAGCACATTGTGAGACCTATTCTTATATCTCCCACTTCAGGTCTGGTTTGAGTAGCAGACTCTGAATTCAGTTCATCTGCACTTGCCCTGCCCATGCGAGGGCTGCCTGAATTTCTGCTCTGCTTAGGTAAAGGGTTAAGGGATCCCTGACCATTAGGTCCAGTCGTGGCTGACTCTGGGGTTGCAGCGCTCATCTCGCTTTACTGGCCGAGGGAGCCGGCGTACAGCTTCCGGGTCATGTGGCCAGCATGACTAAGCCACTTCTTGGCGAACCAGAGCAGCGCACGGAAACGCCGTTTACCTTCCCGCCGGAGTGGTACCTATTTATCTACTTGCACTTTGATGTGCTTTCGAACTGCTAGGTTGGCAGGAGCAGGGACTGAGCAACGGGAGCTCACCCCGTTGCGGGGATTCGAACTGCCAACCTTCTGATCGGCAAGCCCAAGAGGCTCAGTGGTTTAGACCACAGCTCCACCCGTGTTCCTTATCTGCTCTGCTTACTCCATCCTAAAATGGTTTGCCAAGATCCTTTCCTCTCCTTTATCCACCCAACCTGCCCCAACCCTGCCCTTCCCCACCTCACCTTGATGTGAAAGCTGGCCAGGGAGATGTTTGGCCGCCCCGTGGCACACCGGAACTTCAGCTGCTGGTCTGCCAGGGACTCGGCATATCGCTCCTGCCGGTGCGGCCGACTGCTGAGCACCACCTCGCGCTTCTGAAAGGCTGTGCAGCTCAGGCCCACATAGCTGTCTGGCTTGATCAGGTAGGCCTCGAAAGCGATGTTCCTCGTGTTCTGCCAAAGCAAAGGTACCCGACTTGTGAGACCCGGGATGCGTCCCAGGTAGCGATGGGCAAAGCTGTCCTTTCCTCTTTCCCTTTTTTCCTTGTCTGAAGCTTAGCACTTCCCATCCATTTGCAATTTATTTATATATTTACTTTTAAAAGCCCTCCTGAAAGTTCATCGCATTTTAGTGCACATTTTTCCTAATATACGGGATGTTTGTATGCAATTTTGCCTAAGACCCACATATTTGCACAGTGATTTTCCCCAATATAACTTTCACTAATATACACATTTCTACGCATGCTTTCCCCCAGTATGTGCAATTTTTGGGGGGTAGGCATTACTTGGACGGACAGCTACACAGAAAAAGTGAAAATTTTGAAGGAAGGCGGTGTTTCGGTTTTCATATTGTTTCAGGAAGTGTGAATAAGGTAAATTCTCATTTAAATCATATTTCTCCCCCATTTTTTACTCCCAGGTAAAGAGTATCATTGTTAGGCATGGTGGCACAGATCCACACTCTTGTGTCCGTCCGTCCCCCCTGTTAACTTGCAACTACCCCTTTTGTCTCAATATGAATATTTCTTACTACCCACACCTTAATATTATTCCTCCAATTGATTTGTTCCAAGTTCAATGAGTCCCTTAATAAATTGCCCTGCAGTGACCTCCTCCATCCCTCATTCCCTTGCTCTCTCCTGGCCCCAAGTGTAGCTGGTGGTACCAGTCGCCATTTCAAGTTCCCACAATGCTACCATGGCCGCTCCAGGGCACTGTGGGGAATTCAAAATGGCAGGCAGCTCCCAGATAAGCCCACGGACTGGTTGCTGGATGAGTAACTGAGCTGACTGTCAGCACTGGTGAGCCCTGTCAAAGGGCTTGGTCCCCAGCAGCTGCCCAAGAATACTGGGTGTGTCCGTGCCGTCCGTGTTCCTTAGTTCCAAACAGCCCGCAACCCTCCCCTCCCCATCTGAACATCTCTCGGTGTGACCTACCACGGCTATGTACTGAGAGCTGGTGCTGAGAGTGTAGGCGGCAATCTTCTCTAGCGAGCGGACGATGCTGGTGCAAGCCTTGTCCTCAATCTGAGCCATCCACAGAACGTGGTCGTCCACTAGCATCATGTTGCTGGCCATCTCCACAATGACGTCCGTGAGCTGCGGGAAGGCAGACAAGGGTGAGATCTTCCAAAAAACCCCAGGGCTGCAGCAAAAGAGATGATTTAAATCAGGGACGGAGAACCTGCGGCCATTCAGATGTTGCTCGATTTCAGCTCCCAGCATTCTTGTGCCATGCTGCCTGGGGCTGGTGCGGCTAGGAGTCCATCAGAGTCTGAAGGCAGTGATAGAAACTGGAGTAGAAAATCTAGGAGCCAAATGGCTTCCAGGACCTGGGTTGTGGGCGCCAAAACAGAATGTCTAGTCGCCACTGGCGGGGTGGGGAGATCAGCAACACTTTTTATTTATTATTTTGATAAGCATGAATTAATATGCAATTCACATAAGCAACACATCGTTAATATCACATTTTTAGCAGAAATTGTTCATACATGTTTAATTTGGTGTTTACAATAAAAATACAGTGGTACCTCAGGTTACATACGCTTCAGGTTACAGACGCTTCAGGTTACAGACTCCGCTAACCCAGAAATAGTACCTCGAGTTAAGAACTTTGCTTCAGGATGAGAACAGAAATCGTGCAGCGCCAGCGGGAGGCCCCATTAGCTAAAGTGGTACCTCAGGTTAAGAACCGTTTCAGGTTAAGAACTGACCTCCGGAACGAATTAAGTTCTTAATCTGAGGTACCACTGTATTGGTACCATACTTCAGCTCTCAAAACACTCTACTCTTTATTGTTAAACTCCTTAACATATTGTCTATCCTTAAGATATACTAAAAAGGTAAAGGTACCCCTGCCCGTACGGGCCAGTCTTGACAGACTCTAGGGTTGTGCGCTCATCTCACTCTATAGGCCGGGGGCCAGCGCTGTCCGGAGACACTTCCGGGTCACGTGGCCAGCGTGACGAAGCTGCATCTGGCGAGCCAGCACAGCACACGGAAACGCCGTTTACCTTCCCGCCAGTAAGCGGTCCCTGTTTATCTACTTGCACCCGGAGGTGCTTTCGAACTGCTAGGTTGGCAGGCGCTGGGACCGAGCAGCGGGAGCGCACCCCGCCGCGGGGATTCGAACCGCCGACCTTTCGATCGGCAAGCCCTAGGCGCTGAGGCTTTTACCCACAGCGCCACCCGCGTCCCGACTAAGATATACTATGAGGCTTCAAAACACATACATTTCAGTAATCCTTGAGTGTCAGCCAGGCACAAAAAAAAATTAAAAAAAAAATTGTCACCCAGACTTTTTGAGGTGCTTGCTAATGGAGAATCTTTAGGCGCAAAATGCACCTGGCGCCCTGCTAATTTCGAAGCCTGTCTAGAGGACCTCAGCTTCCCCACCCTGCTTTAAATGCAAAGAGTGCTCTGGACAATGCACAGAACATGGAAGCGACACCACATCCACCCAGCATTAGAACCCTGCTCAATCTTGGTCCAGACTCCTGTTCTTAAAGAGACCAGATGGCTTTAAGAAGCCTGCAAGCGAGGCCTGAGCACAACCTGGCATTCCCAACCACTTGTGCTGAGAGGCATCAGGGCCTTGTCCACTATTGCTTCCAATCCACCACTACAGAAAGAGGAATGTAAATGGATAAAATTGATGGTAATTGCAGCCAGATAGGTTATAGCGAGTAACTGGAAAAATCCAGAAGAGCTAAGGGTGAACCAATGGGGAAAAAAACTGAATAATATTATAATTTTAGAATATCTAACTGTGAAGATACATAGAATGAAAGGGCTTAAGATCAGTGAGAAAGAGGAGGATTGGTTTGAGAAGATACTGAATTATTTGGGTAGGTTTGAACAATTTGGGGCAATTAAAATGTTAAAAGTTAAATAAACCTTGTGGATGAAGGAGTGTTAACATATTTAAAATTATACATATGGTTGATTTGAATATGTTATTATTGAATATTATTGAATATGTATATTATTGAATATGTATATTATTGAATATTGTATACCCAATGTATCAGCCACTTGGGGGGTTTCACTGTTTGTGTTTTGGTGGTTGGTAAAAAATAAAATATAATATATATAAAAAAACACTATGGTCCTGTGGCCCTGAGAATAATAATAATAATAATAATAATAATAATAATATTTATTGTTTGTTTGTTTGTTTGTTTGTACCCAACTCATCTGACTGGGTTTTCCCAGCCACTCTGGGTTGCTTCCAACCAGGTATAAAGAAACACACCAAAATATCAAAGCTTCCCAAAACAGGGCTGCCTTCAAATGTCTTCTGAAAGTCATATGATTATTTATCTCCTTGCCATCTGACAGGAGGACATTCCACAGGGAGGTGGCCACTACCGAGAAGGCCTTCTGCCTGGTTCCCTGTTACTTCGCTTCTCACAGTGAGGGAACCACTGTGAGAGGACCTCAGTGTTCGGGCAAGATGATGGGTGTGGAGATGCTCCTTCCGGTATACTAGGCTGAGGCCGTTTAAGGCTTTGAAGGTCTGCACCAACACTTTGAATTGTGCTCGGAAACGTACTGGGAACCAGCGTAGAATGGTTTTATATGGTCCCAGCGGCCGCTCCCAGTCACCAGTCTAGCTGCCGCATTCTGGATTAATTGTAGTTTCCATGTCACCTTCAAAGGTAGCCCCATGTGGAAGGTTTCTCTCCAGGGAATCCTCCGTGTTTTGAGGCACAGAGGAAAAGACAGGAATCGCAGGCAAGCAGATTACTCCCTGCATTGCATTTGGGGAAAGCAAAGAACCTAGGAACGCGGTTACACATGACTTAGTTACCTGCTTAATCTGATCCACGTAACCAGTAAACTTCTCAATCATCTGGGAAACGTAGATGACATCCATCATGTCCGAGAAATTTGCCGCCTCGGCTGTGTAGACACGCAGCTGGTGTGCCAGGGTCAGGGCGTTGGAGGCGTTGATGGGCATCTGGGAGCACAGAAAAGGGGTTGGGGCCCATGTCAACATAGTGCTTGATACATGAAATAAGAGAGGTAGCCCAGGTGTTATGCTCAGTGGCAGAGCACCTGCTCTGCAGGAAGGTCCCAGGTTCTACCCCTAGTGCCTCCACCTGGGACTGGGAATACCCCCTGCCTGAAACCCGGGAGAGCTGCTGCCGGTCTGAGCAGGGTATATAAGACAATATTGTAGGGCCTCCACATTTGCTTCTCTGGGCCAGGCCAACCACTCCTAACATTGAAGGCATGGCTGGCTGGGAGCTGGCATAGCCATGCCAACTGTGCAGCTGCAAGGGATGGCAGGGCAGGCCCCTGGCAATGACAGGGGCACCCCGAGGAGCAACCCACCAGCACAAAGGTGTAGAGGACACGGGTGATATCGTTGGTGTACAAGCAGTGGGAATAGTCCCCTTCCTCCCAGCGGCCAGTGCGGTCACAGCGCCTCCAGGCTTGCTTCTCCAAGCCGGGCCCCCCGTTCCCAGAGGCGAAGGGGTACTGCAGACATGACTGGTAGGCAGTGATGCCAGCCAAGGTGCGTGGCCACCTGTAGGAGGGGGGAGAGAGGCATGTCATGAATTCTACTCAATATGATCCAGAGCAGAACTCCAACGTATCGTTAGCAGAGTAAAAAACTTAAACACATTGCAGAATTCCCAAAAAATAGACCAGAGGCAATTGCATTTCATCCAGCAGAGCTTAGTGCTACTGAAGGCAAATGAGCATAATGGTCACTTAATCTTAATCTTTTATTTACGGCTATTAGCCCATAGAGTATGTACAAACATAAAAGCACAGAGGCATAAAGACCGATATATTCGACACCAGAAGGTGAACACCACGATGCAAGGGTGGGTCATTGAGCAGAGCCAAATAACAGCTTGGGGCCCGGAGAGCTCCAAGGGACGGATCACAGAAAAGGAAAACTGGAGACGAGATCCGACATGCACTCTCATCATAACTGTCCGATTAGTTTTTGATGTTGTTGTTGTTTTTTGGTGGTTTTTGTGTGTGAGATAACCGCATTCAGGAATCTCGCCACCTGCAGAGTTACAGAAGGATCTGTATCCTGCAAAAGTAGTGCGGCATGATTATCTGCGTGATAATTCTTCCACATCTGCGCAGCAACTACAAGTGATGGCTGGAACACCTCTTAGCGCTACCCTGGTTAAGACTGACAACTCTGACGGATCGACTAGTATAGCCCATCAAAGACTTGCTACTATTCACCTCAATGAACAGCATCCGTCCTCACCAACTTTGCCTAATTCTTCCTCCCCGGCAAAGCCCCTCCTGCCTGTTAATGTTACCAAATCATGGATTCAATCAACACAGAAGAAGACTTTATCCGCACAAACTAAAATTACTGATTTCCTTATGGGTCCTCGTTCTACCTCCAAGAACCCATTAAACAACTCAAAGTGACAATTACCGGGACAGCACAAGGACCCGACATTATCAATACTTAGCTGGAACATTGCTGGTTGGAGAACCAAAAAATCTGACCCCGAATTCAGGAAGTACATAAATTCATTTAACATCATCCTATTCCAAGAAACATGGGTTGAGGAAGAAATTACCATAGACGGCTTCGATCTTCTAACACTCCCGGCCTCCCCTTCCTTGAAAGGTGGTCGCCCCAAAGGGGGTCTTTTGATTGGGATCTCACTCCAACTTCGCGCCAAATTCACTCTGGTACGGGCTTCCCCGCCTTTTGCTCTATCTGGACTGATCGCAGAAGGGAAGTCCTCATTACTAATTACTAATGTTTATCTCCCCCCCGAAGGCTCAGCACCTGATCTTGATTGGAGATGGGAATCATTTGTAATGGTCACAAATCCAATACATTCAGGATTGGCCCTGTCCATAAGAAATCCAGTTGCAGCAGACTTAACTTAAACTTACAGTAACTTATACAGTCACACCTCGGATTGAAGTAGCTTCAGGTTAAGCATTTTCGGGTTGCGCTCCACGGCGACCCAGAAGTAACAAAGTGTTTTGCCGCTCGCGCATGCGCAGATGCTCAAAATGATGTCACGCACATGCACGAAGGCGGCGAATCGCGACCTGCGCACGTGCAGACGCGGGTTGCATTCGCTTCAGGATGCGAACGGGGCACTGTAATAAGTCTAAATCTTAACACTAAGCATCCTATCTACAGAACACCACACCAGAAGGAAAAGAGATAGAAAGAGAAAGTGAAACCCAGGCTCCTTCTGGCCTTACTATTATAGTCAGCATGACCTTGACAGAAAGAGATAACAGAACCAGTTTAAGCCAGCTGTACTCAGCTTCTCTGAAGGAATAACCCAAACATCATGAACCTTCTGCTTGTTTCTTTCACGCAGATAAGCTTCCAGAACCCTCTTGAACTAATTAGAATAGGAAAGACCTCTACATATCAGACTTTCTGTACCTAGAAATGCAAGCTGACAAGATGGTCATTTGGAGGGAGTGCTTCTGTAATGGGAGGCCCATCGGGCGACTTGTTTGGAGGGGAGGCAGGAGGAGATTGCGCAGGAGCAGTTGAAGGGAGCATGAGACGACAGCAGGGATGGGGAAGGGTGTGACTTGACGGTTGGGAGACCAGGAGGGCAGAGGGGATTAGCGGGGTACCGATGGTTTAAGGAAAGCCCTTTCCAACCTGATGTTCTCCAGGCGTCGCTAGGCTGCAACTCATGTTACCCCTGACCATTGGCAATGCCGGCCGGGGCTGATGTGAGTGGACAGCCAGAACATCTGGAGTGCACCAGAGGCAGAACCCTGCTGGATTTGACCAAAGGCCCAACTAGTCCTTTTCACTGGCCAACCAGATGCCTATGAGAAGCACAGTCCTCTGATGGCTGCACCATTCTGTTTGGATGCTCCCCTGAATTTTAAAATAATAATTCAACATATGGGGTGGGTGGGGATAAGAGAGCGAGCTACAGATCCTTCTCCCCCTCCACATTACCTTTCCATGTGTAAGATGGTTGGTGGCTGTTGGCTCTTTATGGGAGATGTGCTCAACTGTACGGTTCCCCCGTCCACAGTCTGAGGACCTTTCCACACAGCCAGGTAGTTGTGGATTCTGTACTGCTCATACAGGAATGCTTTTGCCCACAGCTCCGTGAGGTCTTCTTCATCAATATGCCACCCCATATTAACCGCTACCCTTCTGAATCATATTTACCATTTCCACTGGCTTTTTTCTGTACCGGATTTAACATGTGAAACAGCAAATCCAGATTAAATGGGGAAATTAATATGGGATGCCCTATTCGTTGAGAAAGTCAACCTGTGGGTGCTACACAAAACTCACACGCACAAGCAGCAAGGGAGGTGCAGTGGCCGCACAAGGAAGGGTCTCCTCAGTGGTGGCTCCCTGGTGGGGAATGATCTCCCCAGGGAGGCACGGCAGGTGCCATCACTATCTGCTTTTAGGGGCCAGGCAAAAAACAATTATTTTGCCCAAGCTTTTGGCCTTTCACTCTTTTCTTTCTTTCTTTCTTTCTTTCTTTCTTTCTTTCTTTCTTTCTTTCTTTCTTTTAGGGGGTGCCTTGAGTTGGATCTCCTCTTTTATAAATATTACCACGGAGTGTTTAAGGTTGTTTCTACTCTTGCATTTATACTTGGTTTTGATGTTTGTTTCTGTAAGACATCTTCTGTTTACCTTTGTGAAAACGTGACTTATTATCATTATTATTATTATTACCACCACCACCATCATCAACAACAATTCCACAAGAAGGTTCTGTGCAATTGCCCTGAATCTCCCACATATATCTCCCCCTTGCCCTTTAAGGGAGGGCTATAGCTATGCTATATGCAGAAGTCCCAGATTAAGTCTCTGGCATCTCCAGGTTTAGCTGTGAGAAACCCCTGGAGGGCTACTGCCAGTCAGTGTAGCCAGTACTGAGCCAGTTGGACCAATGGTCTGACTCTAACTTGATATAAGGCAGCTTCCTATGGCAGGGATTCTTTTTCCTGCCTCTCCTCGTCCGCATTTGGAATAAAAATACTGGTCAGGCTGCTCCCTGATAAATATCACACAGAGTAAACGAAGGGAAGAATGGGGGCATTGCAAGCCAGTGAGCATCAAGGAAGGAGACCCCCGCTGCCTGCAACTGAATGAGAGGGTGGGGTTGGGAGAACAGGGAAAGGGATAGGGGATTGTGTCTCTAAACAGGATGAGGCCCACAATTGGGGGGGGTGACTTTCATGCTGTGCCACAGGGTTTGAAACAGAGAAGAAAAAATGTCTGATGCCAAATGTTTTATGGAGTAATTTATTTGCCTCCCTGGAACTCTCTGCTTGGTCCAGCTGCTTCAACATCTGGCTTGCAAGACTCTTCCTATGCCTTCTCCCTCCCATGCCGGCGGGAACAGCTGGATGAAGGCATAAGGCTGTCACATGGCTCCCCACACACACACACACACCAGACGCAGACATGATACAGCACACCCCTTGGGCTGCCTCTGCAAAGACAAACCCAGTTCCTCCTTTGGTTCTCGCAGCCTATTGCCCCAGAACAAAACTGGCTTATGCGGTTGAAAGCAAGCTCAACCCAGGAGAACCCTAGGCTGTGTACACACCAAAAGCTTGAAGTGTGTGACTTCTCCTGAAGAACCATGGGAACTGTAGTTCCAGCACCCTTAGCAAACTACTGTTCCCAGGATTTTTTTAGGGGGAAGCAGTGTGCTTGATGTGTGCTTTAAATGTAAGGTGTGAGCTGCAAAAATGTTTATGCCCTCCTCCACCATCACCGTGGTCTCTGTCTCCTCCCGTTAGCGCCATTCGATTAGGAAATACCAGAGGCAGGAGCAGGAATGGAAAGAGGCAGTGGCTTGTATCTCATCCTCTGTTTGTTGCAATCAGCTCTGTTTGCCTTCCACTACAGTTCAGCTTCCGCTAAAACTTCTTCACCTCACTATCTGCAATGGCTAAAAGTGATGTAATTGATTTCAATGAACGTCAACAGAAGAGAAACGTGGAAAAAAATGCAGTAAATAACACAATTATTTACGTTAATGCTTCCAGAAAAGCACTCCAATGGCGAATACTGCTCATAATGGCTTGCGTGTTACTGGCCCAGAAATGGAAACAGGAACAAGTACCAACATTGGAGGAATGGAGAATGAAGCTGATGGACTATGCAGAACTTGATAAACTGACAGGGAAGATCAGATATCTACGAGATCAAAAGTTCATCGAGGACCGGGGAAAGCTAGTGGAGTATTGGGAATGTATAAGTGATAATGAAATAACGTTAGTGGCATTTAAAGAAGCTCTGTAAAAACCTAAGAAATATTGTAAGAAAGAAAAACAGGTGTGGAAGGGTATGTTAAAAGGCAATAGTAAATTTAGGAAATGTGTAATTAAAAAGTTTAATTCGGATGATTGTCAGAGAGGCTGAAGGAAGTCCAAAAACGAGAAAATTTGTCAAAGTTGTAATGTGGTGCGATATGTATTTTTCTTGATGAAAATTAATAAAAAATATTATTTTAAAAAAACACATAATGGCTTGCGTGATTTACATTTCTGACGTCCGAAGAACGTGCAAATTGAGGGAATTTCTGCTCCCTGCTGGACTTCTCCAATATTTCTGGGCAGGGGATGCAATTTCAGGTCATCTCATCTGCTTTGGTCTTTAAGCTCTTTTTTTTGGTCCCAGGCAAGAGAGGACCAAACAATGAGGACATCTAAACCATTTCTCATCCATTCTGGGATTTAATCAGTCTCTTTCCAAGTTTTCCCATGGGATGGGAATCCTCTGCTCTCCCCCACCCCTTCCAAATGCCTGCAGCGCTGCAAAGCTCTTCTGTGCTTTCCTAGGGTGTTGCATTTGTGTCACACACTGGAAGGATCAGGGGTTTTGGGTGCTGCTCTTCCTTGCCTCTAACCCCAGGCCATATCCTGCTCATGCAGAGTGCGGAGGCGGAAGGGGCCGGGATGGGGGGGGGCGGAGGGAGAGAAGACAGGCCCGCTGTTAATTTAAGCCACATTGACTGTGCAGTAATTTATATTCCATCAAGACCCTGCCAAGGTTACAGCGGGCTCCATAAGCCTTTTTTCTCTTGCCAGAGAAATTCCAACACCTCTGCTTCTGGAGCCTGTCTGCGCTGCCAGAGCCGGGCCTCTCTCGGACAGCCTCCCTCACAACGGACCCTTAATCATTCCCAGATCCCGGTTGCCAGAGAGATCCTCAAGCCCATCCCCTCCCTCCCCTCTCCTCTGTGCAAGAGGGGCTCTGGGAGAGCAGGGATCAGGCATCCGAGGGCTGCCTGCCCCCTAGCCGAACCCTCCTGCTCAAAGGGAGCTGGAGACATTGGACCCTACGGGGCCAAGAGGCAGCAGCGATGGCAAAGAACAAATGAATTCTACCATCCTTCCCAACAGACAGCACATCTGTGGAAGCCCACCTGGCAAGCTCTGGAAAGAGTAGGGGAAAGCAGAGCAGCTGCCTTGAATGCAAACCATCCGAGATACAACCCCCACCATCCCTAAGCAGGAATGGGAGAGCTTCCTGCCAGAAACCATTGAGAGCTTCTGCCAGTCTGTGTAGACAATACTGAGATAGATAGGCGAACGGCCCTTACTCCTATAAGGCAGCTTCTTGCGCGTCTGTGGAAGGGATTCCCAGCTCTTTTCTGATGTGGTTGGCACAGCAAGAAATAAAAGCAATGCCCCCCCTTTCCCCAGCAAGTCCAATGCATCAAGCAAGAAACAAAAACTTTTTAAAGTTACCCTATTATTATTTTTTTGTTACGCTGGCTTTCCTTGCAACTCCACCAGGAAGACAGGAGAGGGCGGACGAGAGAAAGCCCAACAATATTAATTTAAGCAGTTCCTGCTTGCAGCCTTCTTAAGGAAATCAGCCCTGAGTGCTCACTGGAAGGACAGATCCTGAAGCTGAGGCTACAATACTTTGGCCACCTCAAGAGAAGAGAAGACTCCCTGGAAAGGACCCTGATGTTGGGAAAGATAGAGGGCACAAGGAGAAGGGGACCACATGGAGGACGAGATGGTTGGGCAGTGTTCTCGAAGCTACCAACATGAGTCTGACCAAACTGTGGGAGGCAGTGGAAGACAGGAGTGCCTGGCGTGCTCTGGTCCAGGGGGTCACGAAGAGTCGGACATGACTAAACGACTAAACAACAACAAGAACAACAACAGCTTGCAGCCTAGGAAATCACCCTGACATAATACCCCTTGCACATTACAGAAGGGCGAGGTTCTAGCTTCTAGGTAATGGCAATACTGATAGGAACCAGACTGGTATTTCAGAGGTTGGGATCATAATAGTAAAGTCTGTTTGTCATTCAGCCACAACTTTCATTCTTCTTTTGAAAGTTTCCCAAAACAGGGCTCATTAAATAGCCCTACATTATATAGTTAAAAAAGATCTCCCCTGCAATGGTACTTGGGACCACATCAGCCCTGGCAGTTGCCTCGGCCACCATGCAAACACACCAGATGAGATACCAGTTCTCCGCATTTGATTTAGCGCATCCCTTCTTTCGTCCATCATGCAATCATGAAGTCTAGAAACCTGACTTAAAAATAACAGCAATGGAGCTGGTGTTCCTTACACACGGTCTCATGGAACCGGGTCCGGCACATATCAGCCTGGCTCGCTCCAAGTCTTAACTCAGGCCCTGCCATTCCAAGGCCCTCTCTGGTCCAGATCCCCCATAGACTCTCCTACCTGAAGTCTCCACGGTTGTTGGTGACGCGCTCAGCTGGGCAGTATGAGGCCGACGTCTCCAGCACAACTATTTCGACCTTCTTGCTAACGTTGCCCTGAGCAGTGGAGATGGTGCACTCCCAGTCGCCGCTGGCTGAGACATGGATGTTGGACAGGATAAGCTCGCTGGGGACAGAAAGGGCTTTTAGAAACCATACGAGACTGAATGGTTGATAGCTTTTAGGAAACAGGTATGAGGGATTTCACAACTTTCAAATTCCAAAAATGAGGGATGCTAAAAATCTAAAACGTGACTTAGGAATTCAAAAGGCTTAGTATAATTAATATAATTTAGCTTTGCTTGGTAAGTAAAACGTGTGTAAAATCACTAAAAATGATTGTCAAGTACTTGCAGTTATATTATATATTAGTATTATTGGGTTTTGTTTTTATTTAGCATTAACTGACATTTTCTGAATGTAAAATTAAAATTCTTTGGTTTTTTGAAAGCAGTTTCTGTGCTTTTTCATGAAAACGTAGACTTACCAAGCTACATGTTGTCCAATCACAAAAATATTATCGGATTTGAATTCCTCACACTCAAAAGAAATATTTTTTTTAAGACCCCTCACTGAAGAAATGTGCAAAAATTAAGTTTCACCCCCTAAAATGCAGGGAGAAAACTTCCTATCTACTTTTGGTCCAAACTTCTAATGTTTCTTTCACACTGTAGAGCCTGTTGTATTCTGGAACTGTGGCTTTTTGATCAATATGCCACCCCAAATTTAGCTTTTTCATCAATATACTGCTATGTCACACAAAAGTTACTGTAAAATGGCAGGGAAGAACTGTATGCTGGGATACCACCCCAAATTGAGTCATGTGAAATTACAATGTGAAACTACCACAATTTTCCAAGTTAACAAGGTTGCAAATTGATTTTTTTCCCCCTGGAAACAATTAACACAGAAATGAGTTCTAAACATCTTCTAGATTCCACTAGATTTTCAGGAACGGCTTTTATATCATGTGAAAGATACATAATATGTGGAAATTATCAGGTGAGAAAACAACAGGAAAAGAGAATTAAGTGCTGTCTGAATACAGTCTAACTTAGTCTGCAATTAACCCAAGCATAAGGAACAGAAACAAGGCAGCTTGACACATGAAAATAAATACATTAAGACACAGGAATTAAAAATGGCATATAAATTCAGCCAAAATGTATTGAGGTTCCTTAAAGAGTAGGGTTGGGAGATAAACTCAATTCAGTTTGCATTTAAAGGCAAAACTACTGTATTTGTGTTTTCTGAAAAAATGTGTGTACTGAAAACACAGCCATCCTTTGAGACTTCTCCAAATGTTTCAATGCAGCTCTCCAGTTAAGTAAGGCGATAAAAAATGCATATACTGGGGTAAAGTATGCATGAAAATTAATATACAGCATATGATTGAAAATAACATACAAAAATGCATGTTAATAGGGGGTATTGCTTGCTGAAATTAGTCAAAACCACATACAAAAATGTTTTATTAGGAGAAATTCACACAAATATGCTGACAGATTTCCACGACGATTCTTTTTTTTTTTAAGTCACAAATAGCTGTGGAAATGTGGAGAACTGGATTTAAGACTGGGAATGTTAGAAACATGAAGAACTGAGATAGAGAGATTTGTCCATCCCTCTTAAAGGTTAACCAATTTATTATGGCACAGCTTTTCATGGATTCAAGCCCATGAAGCCTTGCATCTGATAATGATAGCTTGTGCCATGATAAATTTGTTAGCAAGTTTCTCAGGTGCCTCAGGAACGCTTTTGATTGCTTTTTGCTTTGTTGTAAGTGACAAACCTTTTCGTAGCAAACGTATTTGTTGCAAGAGGCAAAGTTTTTTGTCTGCTGCAAGACTGGGAACAACAACACGTTAAAATAGTGTGATTAGCTGTGATTCCTCTGTTGTAGGGACTTGGGTTAGATAGCCGTTGGGTCCCTTCCAACACTACAGTTCTATGATTCAGAATATTTTCAAAAGCTTGGGAGATTTTTTATTTGGAAAAAAAAAAAAAGGATTTACCTGGCATAGAAATGATCACAATGTTGGCAGCAAGTGGGTCTACTCAGTGCCGGATTTACATATAAGCTAAACAAGCTATAGCTTAGGGTCCCACTCTCTTGGGGGCCCCAAAAAAATTTAAAGGGAAAAAACCCTGGATGTACATTTCCAAAATATAAGATAAAGATAAAAATAAAATAAAACCTACATACAGCAACAGTGTTTTGTGTTGTGTAGGCTCCTATTTGTTATGTGCAAATGGCTTTAGATACCTATTAGGTCCATAAATTACCATATAGCATATATTCAACACAAAAAAACAGTGACAATTTGTTGTTAACAAAGGACAGCTGGACATATAAAGGGTACCATTACCTTCAGTAGCTTAGGACCTCATCAAACCTAAATCCGGCCCTGGGTCTCCCTGGGGAGTGATACCCAAAAAATGAGGTGCTGAAATTGAGAATATTCTCTCTTGATTCTTTGCCTGTTACCTGTCTAACCTTGGATGGGATTAGACTTCCATGCAACCTGTCAAACCCTGAACTGCTTATTTGTCCTGATCTGTATCCTTCCCAAGGAACTTTGGGAACTACAGCTCACCTCTCAACAGAGCTGCAATTCCCAGCACCCTTCACAAACTACAGTTCCCATGATGCTTGTGGGGAAGTCATGTGTTTTAACTGTATGGCGCAGATGTGAAGTTTCTCCCTTTCCCCAAGGCAGCAAAGCCCCAGTACCTCGTGATGAAGGTGCAGTCGTGGACGAGGCTCTCCTCCAGGATGATGCCATTCCGTTCATCCCCCTGCACCAAGGCACGGTTGTGGTACCACAAAATGTGTGTGCTGTTGTCCAGGTAGCTGGCTGTGCACTGGAAAGGGAGGCGATCGCCTTGGAAGACCACTTGCCGCAAGGAGGGGATCAGCAGGTGGGTGTGCAGCTCTGGGGTCCCTTCTGCGGGAGGGAGAGTGAGATCCTACTCAGGTTGTGTAGGGAGGGAGAGAAGGGTGCTGAGACCAAGACGCCAACTTGCACACAGGTGCCTCTAACACAGTTATGTCTTGCACTTAAGGTGGAAAAGTGATAATCAGAAGTTTACATAAAGGAAAGCTCATTTAGGCAACCAATTATAATTACATAGACTGAGCAAATTTCCCTCTGCTTCTGTCAGCTATGGAGAGTGTTATGTACTGAGCTGAATCCTAGAACAACAGAATCCAGAATGCAGCCGTCTGATTGGTCCGCAGGAGCCACCCAATCCAGCTCCAGGTGGAAGTGAATCAGTGACCTGACTGGCCTGCAGGAGCAGCCAATAAGGCTTCTGGAGGAGGTGAATCCGCAACCTGATTGGCCTACAGGAGCAGCCCGGAATTAGCCAATCACGCAGGGCCCCTTGCATAAATAATGTATATATAGCTAGACGTTTTGGGGAAAGTTTCATTCATTGCTACTATGAGCTGAATAAAGAGCATGAAATTCACATTCGACTCCAAGAAAAATACTATTTAGAAAGGGAAGCCGAGGGGTGCCCAAAGTGCCTCAACGAGGCCTGAGCATGAACTGAGCTTGCTCTGTTACGGCAGGATGCTGCCCGTTTTCAGGGTCGAAAGGAAAGCGGGACGGTGTGTTCTGCAAGACGACGTGGCTGGCGAGCTGGAACAGGGCCACTCCCACCCTGCACAGGTTCCTGCCAGTCCCACTAGTAAATAAACACACCCTGCCCGTCCAGCCGGGGGCCTCACCGCAGCGCATCTGGCTCTCCCGGATGTTGCGTAGCAGCTTCCCGTGCAGGCTGCCAGGGTAGATGCACAGCGTCTTGTCGGAGATCTGGACGGAGCGGTTTTTGGACCAGGCTGAGACCCAGCGCATGTTGCAGTCGCACGTCAGGTATTCGGTGGCAAAGTCACTGGAAGGGAAGGAAGAGAGCCACATGCTGGGATTAAGCAGAATTGTTGTGCGGGGAAAGGGGTTGAAGAAGACAACAAGAGGAGGCCTATGTAAAGAGCTCTGTGTGGAGTGAGCTCTTCTACCTCAAAGATCGGATGGGTAGCGAACAGTCATACCTCTTGTTACGTTCGGTTCAGGTTACGTCTTTTCAGGTTGTGTCCCGCGGCGACTCGGAAGTACCGGAAAGGGTTACTTCCGGGTTTCGCCGCTCGCGCATGCGCAGATGCGCAAAATGACATCATGCGCAGAAGCAGCAAATCGCAACCCGTGCGTGCGCAGATGCGGGTTGCGTTCCTTTCAGGTTGCGAATGGGGCTCTGGAACGGATCCTGTTCGCAACCAGAGGTACCACTGTATTCTGCTTTCAGATTTCCAACCTGGTCCAACCAGAATTTGCATATGTGTGTGTGCACTTTTCTTTGATGAATGCTTTGGGGGGGCATTTGCGGGGGTGGGGTGGGGTTGAGAACTGCATCGCAGAATTTTGATAGGTGTGAACCTTGAAGGGAAGCTGTGTTTTGCCTTGTGTATTAGTTTGCGAAGCATGAACTGTGGAGGTATGCATTAAAATGAGAACTAAATGGATTTCTCCCCACCCCTTCCCTACTTTGGAGTTGATAATGGCTCTAAGAAACGGCAAGTAAGGAAGCTCAGCACTGCCAGTGGTGCCCACACATCGGCTGCTGAACCATCTTGTCTCTCTCCCCCCTGGTAAGTTGTTTATGTTGCAATTACTCTGTTTTTCAGGTTTTTATATTACGTGGCACAATATTTAAATAATTATAATGACCGCTCCCCGCTTAAAACGGGGGGCGCCCTTTGCGTGGACGCGTGCAGCCCCTAGATCTGGAGCGGCTCCATCAGCATAGGCTTGGCCTTGCCTTCCCTCAGGTGGGATACCTGGAGGTCTCCGCCTACCTCAGTCAGTTGCCCAATCCCACCTGGGGGAAGCGTTGCCAAGGAGACCAGGCCAGGTAGGGGGAGGGATTAGCTGCCCACACAATAGAGGGAGGATCTTACCTGGGAATCCTCACTTGGCTCCAGAGCTTCTCCCACCCTACCCACCCTCAGTTAATGTCTTATTTTGCAGGTTAACTTTTCTTCACAGGTATGCGGGCGCTGCTACGTTAAGGTCGCTGTTAAAGGGCCGGAAAGGAATTTTCCTGCATTGGCAGGTTTCGCCTTTCCCGTAGCAAAATGTCACAACTTTGGCGGTATCAGGCCTTGGGCGGAATCCTTTAGTCCATCTTCCTCTTTGCGGCAGCGATACCAGGGTTCCCCGTTGAAGGGGTTTCTGAAGGGAGGCTTTGACCGTACGCCGAAAGGTCGTCATTGCTCTCCCCTGCGGCGGCGGCGTAATGGGGGCGGCTATCTCTGCTTGAACATATGTTCTCCAGAGCAGGTCCATCCCCCCCCCCCACTGGATAACCCTGATGCTCCCTAGGTCCCCGGCTGGGGACTGGGGAGGGAGAACGCCCAATGCCTGAGCCAAGGTCTACCCACATTTGAAATTTAATAAAGTTGTGGCCAATTTAATCCCATAGCACGTTGTCTTGAGTCGTTATTCCACATGACGGGGGGGCCGCGCAGGATCTGGGGACTCCGCCTGTCCACGCAATAAAATGGCTATGAAGAATTCTCTTCCCCCTGTGTTGTATTTGCAACATTTTAGACATGTTCTGCTTTCTCCTAGCTAGTGCTTCCATTGCCATTATGAAAGTGGGTTTAGGCGCCCATCAGTTTACCATTGTACTATCAATAGGGCTGATTCTGCTTCACAGGAAAGCTGAGCGACCATCTATGGCAACACAGTTCAAAAGATGTCCACCACAGTGGAGGCAACACATGAGTTCAGGCTCCCATTCTCCACTCCTTGCAGAAGCTGAAAGCATGTCCCCGTGACTTCAGAGACAACCACAAGAGGTTCTGAGGAACGCCCTCATCTTGCATGGGGAAGGGGGATGCTCTCATCCTCTCAGCCCCACCCTGCTTAGGACAGCAAAATAGCATGATCTGTACCAGCCATGACTCACATTCAACCCAATCCCAGCACCAAATGCTTAAACAGCGATTCTCAACCTGTGGGTCCCCAGATGTTGTTGGACTACAACTCCCATCATCCCTGAGCTCTGACCTTGCTAGCTAGTGTTGATGGGAGTTGTAGTTCAACAACATCTGGGGACCCACAGGTTGAGAAAGGCTGGCTTAAGACGAAACTCAGTTGCCTCTTCCCTGCCTGCCCCTTCTTTCAACATGCAGGAGAGGATATACTCACAGAACTTTCAGAGACAGCAGCTCATCAAAGACCCCACTCTGGATGCTGGAGAAAATATTCCCTGACATATTCCTGTGGAAGAGGAGAATGAACAAGTCGTTTGAGTGGGCCAGAGTTGGCCAAGCATGCTCTTTCACTTGATGGCATGACGGGAACATGATTTCTGTTACAGTGTTGGTGTTTGCACGTTCTGGACAGGGATAGCCTAGCTCTGCTCACCTCAAGGTTAGATTACTGTGATATGTTATATGTGGGGCTGCCTTTGAAGACAGTTCTGACACTGCAGTTAGTGCAGAATTTAGTGGCCAGATTGTGGACTGGGAATAGGAGGACTGATCAAATAACAATGATCCTAGCACAACTGCATTGGCTGCCAGTTCATTTCCAGACTCAATTCAAAGTGCTGTTTTTGACCTATAAAGGACCTTAATACCATAGGGACTGCTTCTCCCCACATGAGCCTAGCCAGGCCCTGAGTTCATCATCTGAGGCCCTTCTTCATGTGCCCCTTCTGATGGAGCTGCAGAACGTGGTGGCTCCTTGGCTGCGAAATGTTCTTCCAAAACTGCCACCATCATTTCCAGTTTTGAATAACCAGGGCATTCCTGTTCACCCAAACATTTGGGGCTTGACTGAGTCACAGGGTATGATTATATCCAAGCTTGAATTGGTGTTCCTTTTTTGTGGGGTGGGGTAGGATTTGTTCTTTTTATGCTATTGCAAGATGAATGCTTCTAGTTAATTAATGTTTTTTAATTCATTTTTATATATTTGCTAAATTTTGTATTATGTATGCTTTTATAATAGTAAGTTGCTTTGAGGCATTTTTGCAGCAAGCAACAAATAAATGGAACATAACATGTGTTTTATCATATGGGCCGTAGCTTGGAATTGCTGGTCACCATCCTCTTTGAAAGGAAGCCCTTTTCATAAGCAGCAATTCAGTGTTGTCTGGCTCAATGCAACCAAAGAGTCAAGAACCTAAGAAGAGCCCCGTTGGTTCAGACGAAAGGCCCACCTAGTCTACCATCCTTGTTCTCACAGTAACCAACCAAATGTCTGTGGAAACCCCAGAATCGGGACCTGAGAACAGCAGCACTCACCCCACCTGGGATTCCCAGCAACTCGTATTCCTAGACCCACTGCCTCCGACAGCAGAGTGAGAACATAGCCATTGCAGCTAGCAATGTTTTTAATAGAAGACCAAAGCACAACATTTTGCAACTTGCATGGACAGGAGGTATCTATGACAGCAGGGGTAGACAACCTGGTGCCCTCCAGATGTTGTTGAACTCCAACTTTCATCGACCCTAGAAAATATGTGGTCAGAGATTATGGTCATTGTAGTCCAGCAACAACTGGAGTGCACGAAGTTGGCCACTTCTGCTTGGCAGCCAAGGAATCGGTCTGCTGAGCAAAGATTCAGTCACTAACACAAATGCGGAAGACTTTGGGCCAAAGGACGCCCGCACCACGAATACTCACAAGCGGATGAGGCTGACCAATCCCTGGAAGATGCCAGAGCTGAGACACCCAATGCGGTTGTTGGAGAGGTCCCTGTTGAATAATCAGAGGAGGCAAAAGAGCCGTGAGAGGACTGTGGAAGCCACGGGCAATGCCAGGAGCAAATGCAGCCCACAGGACCCAGAGGTCAAACTTGCTGACCTTTCTTTAGAATTGAAGTTGTCAAGGTTTTTTTAAGGGCAGGATTAAACTGACCAGCGGGCCAGATTAGGCCACAAAACCAACTTTGGACATGCCTACTGCTTAGCAGGGACGCGGGTAGAACTGTGGGTTAAACCACAAAGCCTAGGACTTGCCGATCAGAAGGTCGGCAGTTCGAATCCCTGTGACAGGGTGAGCTCCTGTTGCTCGGTCCCTGCTCCTGCCAACCTAGCAGTTCGAAAGCACGTCAGAGTGCAAGTAGATAAATAGGTACCGCTCCAGCAGGAAGGTAAACGGCGTTTCCGTGTGCTGCTCTGGTTCGCCAGAAGCGGCTTAGTCATGCTGGCCACATGACCCAGAAGCTGTACGCCGGCTCCCTCAGCCAATAAAGCGAGATGAGTGCTGCAACCCCAGAGTCGGCCACGACTGGACCTAATGGTCAGGGGACCCTTTACTGCTTAGCAACATGGAGAGGGTGTGAGAAATGATGTCACTGGTGGTGGATTGTGTTGAGCATGAGAATCTAGGTCTCTTCAGGAGCCATTCCTGAACAAGGTATCCTGACTGCTAGAGGGTGTGGGGGTGCAGATGCCAGCCTCTACACCTGGGTGTGCTGTCCTCACTCACTCTTCTCACAAAGGGGCTTATAAGCCTCCCCATATTTGGGAAACCAGGTGGAGACATTGGGGGTGGCGCTCATGTAGTTGGAATGCTCTGTACAGGAATAAAACTGGAACGATTTGTTCTCGTGTGCTAGCATCAATTGAGATTCTAGCTGGGAACTCACTGGATGGTCAGAGTGATGTTGGCAGCAGCAGATAGGAGGAGATCTACCATGGCAATTCATGGCGGTGAAACGACAATTGAATGGAAGGCCAGAGATGCCAGAGATGGCCAAGGGTGGGAGAGAACAGCCCTTTGACATCTACTTTCTCCCTCCCTGCCATAGTCTCCAGTGACAGAACAGGTAGACAAACTGAAATGGGTTCAGAGAACAGCAGCAAAGATGGCCATGGATATGGAAAGCAGTGCCCTGATGTTTTATGACATGGTAATATACACCGTATTTTTTGCCCTATAGGACACACTTTCCCCCCTCCAAAAATGAAGGGGAAATGTGTGTGCATCCTATGGGGCAAATGCAGGCTTTCGCTGAAGCCTGGAGAGCGAGAGGGGTTGGTGCGCACCGACCCCTCTTGCTATCCAGGCTTCAGGAAGCTTTCCGCAAGCCTTGGGAGCTCCGCGGGAGTTCCCGTCGGGCTCCCAAGGCTTATGGATAGCAGCCTGCATCCCGAAACCTGGGGCGCGCTGCACATATCGGGCAGCCCCACAAGCTCGGGGGACAGCGGGGAGGCGGAGCGCCGCCATCCCGCTGTTCCCCAACCTGGTTTTGGGGGGGGAATAAAGGAATCCCCCCCTTTATTTCCCCCCCAAAAAACTAGGTGCGTCCTATGGGCCGGTGCGCCCTATGGGACGAAAAATACGGTAAATACTTTTTGATATACTTTATATAAATAAATACTTTAAATGCTTTAAAGAGATAAATCTAATCTCACAGACAAGAATTTGAAGGAAGTAATGGAGGAGGGAAGACTGGAGGGGGGAAAGCATGGTAACATTCTTCAAATACACAAATGGTTGCCACGAAAGGCTTGTTCACGCATCACACTGAACTCAGGCACAAGCTGTCTGTACACATGTGGAACATGTGAAACAGCATACACTTGTTCATTGGCACAGCTCAATTACTGTGCCCACTGATAAAGGAATGTACCCATCAGCATGGTGCATGAGAAAAACTGTACACGGGTACAGATATATTTGATTGTACACTCATTGAAGATCACGTGGGGAGGGCAAAGGTTTGTTCTCTGCTGACCCAAAAGGCAAGATTGGATCTAAGGGGCTTAAATTCCAAGAGGCAGTTTCAGCTGAACATTAGGAAAAACTAATGGGCTGCTCTGGAGTTGGGAGGGAGGGCTTTGAGAGTGGTACTTACAAGCGCTTCAGGTCCGAGAGGCCTAGAAAAGCTCCAGGTTGGATGATGCTAATCAAGTTGTTCTTTAGGTCTCTGGAAAAAAGGAGGAAGCCACAAAAAGGTGTTAGGAAGGATCTGAGTGCCATGTTCCCGATGGGAACATTCTTACTGAGGACTGGGTGAAATTCCTCACTCCGTATCACTGCAACCAGGCTGCGCCCAGTGGTGGACCAGAAAGCAAGGAAGCCAACGGTAGGCAGAGATAAAAGCAATGACAGGAGGAGCCAACTAACTCACGTTTTGTCCCCATCCTTCTCCCTGCTGTTTCCTAAAAGGGCAAAACTGAGATTGAGGAGGAAACTGGCAGCCAGGCCCCTCTTGGTCTGGCTTAAGAAGGCAGGCAGACGGAGTCTGGCAGACTTAGGCTGGGGGGCCATTCACCCAAAGGGACCAGTCTCCACAGGCTATGCCAACATTTTCTGTATATACATATATCTAGCCATTCTAATCAACCAAGTGGTTTTAAAAACAATTATTACAGATTAAAGCCCATATAACTTCCCCCCTTCCAGTGGGTGGTTGTCTCTTGTTTGCTATGTCTACAGTGCCATGATTTTTGATTTTGTTTCTTTCACTTTTTATTTTTCCTGGCAAAAAGGGGAGATGACAACTGCATTTTTAAATGAATGAATGAATGACTGACTGACTGACTGAATGAATTCAATCTTTGAAGTGCTCCCCCTCCTGGCCCATGACAAAAAGCAACTATTTTTTAAAAAATTTAAGGAGAGCCCTGTTGGTTCAGACCAAAGTCCTTGTGCAGCTTAGCAGCATGTATCACACAGAAGCCCAAGCTGCCTATGGGTTACTCAGGAGGAGGACACAAGAACGTGCTGTTCTTCCCCTGCAACTGGTGATTCAGAATCATGACGCTTCGGATTCTGGCAGTAACATATAACCAGAATGACTAGTAGCCATTGATAGCTTATCAGTCATGAATTTATCTAATCTCCCTTTAAGGTCAGTAGCATCTTATGGTAGCAAATCTGGCTCTCTGTCTGCCTGTCTCATTCATATGTATGTGTGATATTTTTTTGGGGGGGGGAGGTGGGTGGATGAGCAAAATAAAACACTGAAAATGGTGGAGGTAGCAAGCCAGTTTCCCACAAATTAATCAGAAGAATGGTGCCAGTACATTTTGCCACATATCTCAGGTTCTACAAACACTGGAAACCTTGGGCCATATCCAAGCAACTTGTACTCATAGTAGACTCCTTGAAAACGATGGGCCTCAGTTAGCCATGCATAGTCATATCATTAGGATTACTCTGGGTAGGACTAGCGTTGGATAGAATCATAGAGTTGGAAGGGATCCCAATGGCCATCTACTTTAACCTCCTCCATGGCAGGAATCCTGCCCACAGCCATCCCTGGGTGGGCTCAAACCACCAATGTTCTGATTGACAGACAAACACACTGCCCCATTGATAACCCTCTGTGTGTGTGTGTGTTTAAAAAAAATTAAGGTAGGAGTCCGTGGGTTATAGTTCGTCCAGAGGAGATAGGTCTTCCTTCCCTTGCTCCCCGCAGACGTGTGTGTGTGTGTGTGTGTGTGTGTGTGTGACATAGTGCTCTCATCACCTCCTATCTCACCATTACCTGTTTCTCTTGCATCAGGAGGGAGAGATGGGGGAAGGGGAAGGGCAAACACTTGTGTAAGGGGGAATTGCAGTTAAGCACACGCTCACTGATCTTCTGGATAAGAAGCCAGAGCAACCCCCAGGCTCCTGTTCATCAGACAGCAACTTCCCCCCCTTTCCTTTCCTTTGCAATATAGTGGTGGATTTCCACCGCACGGAAATTAACTTGATGGGTAGAGCCTAAAGGCGCTCGCTACCGTTAACCTCAAACATCAAAGGATGTGTACAGCTTCAGGAGGTTCGTTATTGTTCTGTAATTCATTAAGAGCCCTTGTCTGGGTTCTTCTTGCCCCAGTAATGGTGGCTTCTTCTCACCGCTCAGTGTTTACACTGTGTAATAAAAAAACAAACAGCACAGACTACCCAGCCCACCCAAGCGCCCAGAAGATCTCGCATTTTAGCATTATAAGAGAGGGAGGAAAACTTCTGTCTACTTTCTATGCCATGATATAAGAAGTATGTATGAGTGGATCTTTTTTAATGGATTAGATGATCCTCTTAGTGAACAGTGGTGTCTAAACTTTTTGAGCTTTTTTTTACGATTTTACCCCAAAGTTGTTGAGGTATTTTTTAGGACTGAAGTTGTTGAGGTTTTTTTTGGATTTTACTCCAGGAAATAAACTGCCACAGGGTCCGGATTAAACCGATCCAGCCCAATCGCCTTCTAAATCCGGCCTGCAGGTATCAGCGTGTTTTTCAATGAGTTGGGCCTGCCTGGTGTTTGTACATGAGTAGGATGTGTCCTTTTATTTAAAATGCATCTCTGGGTTATTTGTGGAGCATAGGAATTCGTTCATTTTTCCCCCTTCAAAATATAGTCCAGCCCCCCACAAGGTCTGAGGGACAGTGGACCGGCCCCCTGCTGAAAAAGTCTGCTGGCCCCTGTCTTAGTCCCTTCCAACACTACAGTTTTATGATTCTATGATACTGCATTTATACCCCCCCCCAAAAAATCACATTGCATTTCCTTCACATTGAAATGAATGGGGTGCAAGAATGCAACAACAACCTATTTTACATGATGATGCAAATTAAACTGACACAGCAGATGGTGATGCAAAGAGTGTCGTTTTCAGTGGAAGGTTAACTGCAGCAGAATGGGAACAGTGCTGCATGAGGTAAATAAAGAGCAGACTAGAAAATGATGCATCCTTATCTCCCTAGTAACGCAGCATGGAATTCAGAGAATTCGTGATTACAAAGCTGAGCAAATCCCTTCCATCCATCGCCACCTCAGTGTCTCTAGATTCAGGGCCGAAGTGCAGGCACTTGGCTCTGCAAGTTACTCATTTCAGAAACTCGCTAGCGATAAGATCCTCCTTCCAGACATGAACCTACTGCCGTTCTCTCTCCTGCCCCCGAGTCTCTACAGAGTTTTGCAAAAAGAGGAGATGAGCAGAGTCACGCAGACCACATTGTGCACAGCTGCTACCCTAAATCATACTTTAAAGGGGGGAAAGAACAAAAGCAGAAGGAGGAACCACCCCCATAATCCCAAACAGACAGCTGGAGCTAGAAATCAGGGTTGGCAAGCACTAAAAAAGCTCTTCTTCAAATGCTGCCTGCCCTGCCTCCCAAACGTCTGTGCTGGGAAAGCCGTTTTCCCTGAGATCATAGAGAGCCACATCATTCAACATTCCTCAAAGGGAAACAGGGGCGTGCTTGCAGCATCCTGGACTAAGGATCATTACCCAAGCTCACCACTCCATAGTTGCATGGAAGTGGGACCTTAACAAAAGGGTGGAGCACAGAGTGCTGACATTCAGGGTCCTAACCAGTCAGTCTGCCCGTTTCCAGGAGACTCCATTCCACCACTACTCCTTTTCCTCTTTGCTTGCAACGATCAGTCAGCAACTCCCATCAACCCCAGAAAGTGTGGGCAATGCTATGGGGTGATAGGATTCAGAGTCCAACCGCATCTGAAAGGCCACAGGCTCCCCACCCCCATTTTTAATGCATGCAGAATAGACCTATTTTCACCTTCTAAACATGTCCGCTGGACATCTGTGAGCCTTCATGGATGGTCTTGCTGGCCCTGGCCCTGATCTCCCCTCTGTAGTTGCCGTATTTGGGGCCAGGGAAGAATTTGCCTGCAGACAAATTGGGCTGGACTGGGTTTTTTGCCTACCTCATAGAAACAGTCACAACTTGCTGGCGGAAAAAGGCAGTGGGTCACATCCTTAGTCTAAGAGAAAGGTTGGGGGGGGTAAGGAGCTCCACACACCCCTCTTTATAATCAAAGTAAGAAAAGGGGCATCTCAGATCAACTTGCTGAGAAATATCCAGCCCAGTCTTTCCTTCTTGTACTTGACTCAGAAGACAGGCATAGGACCTATCAAAACATGATGTCTAGCTGCCACTGTGGCTACTATTCCTCAGAGGCCACAGAGGTAAAATACTACCTTACTGGCAAAATAGATGCTTGGGGAAAGGACAGCAATAGGAGCAACTCAGGGTGGAACTGGTCTTTGACAGTCCAGTGGAGAATCCCTCCTTGCCCATTCCTAAGGATGGAACCACACACTGCACAATTCTCATGGGCCGTGCAAAGGGGATCAAGGAGAACTGTTCAAATGCCACAAGCGGCCTCAGGGCAAAGTTGTTTCTTCAGCTGGGACTATCTCATAAGCATGTGATAACTCTGAATGAAGGGCCCTTGTCAATGCAGCCACAATAGACCTCTGTCTGGAGTTCAGCTTGGAGGAAGCTCAAAGGCTTTCATTAGCTCCACTTCAAAAGATCCGGTGGCTAAATCACAGATGCAGGAGTCCGTTATGGAGCTGCCAGAGCCAAGGGTTCAGGGCGTCGCTCACAGCCTCTGCAGCGACAGGAGCAATAGGAAGGCTTCTCCCCATTTGACAGGTGGAAATAGATAGCCTTGTTTGATGACACACTTCTGCTGTGTCCAGAAAGCAAGGGTCCAAGCGATTTCCCCTTTGCCCTACTCCATTCCAAGGGAAAACCCACTGTTTACAAGAGAGCAGAACTAATGGCAATCCAGGGAAATATAATTTACTGTTTGCTCCAGTTGGGTGCTAAAGAGTGGTTCTCTCCAGAGGAATGCAAAAAGCGTTTCCATGCGGAAGATCCCAGGTTCAATTCTACCATCCCCAGGCACGGCTGGGAGAGAACATCTTTGCATACAGTGCTCTGGAGGGTTACTGCCAGTCAGAGTGGACAATGCTGAGCTAAATGGACCAGTGGTCTGAGGTTAAGGCATTCAGGTCCCAGACCATTTTGGGCTTGAATGGAGCTAAGGAACAAACAAGCAACTAGTGTAGCTCACTCAAAATTGGCACAGTGGAGTCAAAACTCCTTGCGCCCATCAGTATCCTGGCTGCAATATTTTGCCCCATGTAGCATTTCAAAGCAATTTAAGGCAGCTCCATACAT